TTACAGAGTAGCTTAATCCTCAGATTCCTCAACAGTCAGATGGATTCCATTTTACTTTTAAAGTCCTTGTAAGAATAACTTGAGATCATGTGACAAAGGGCTTAACAGCGACTCTAAGACACACTGACAGTTGTTTCAGGAGATTCAAACGAATGGGATGTTCGATTAGTGAAGATTCTGTCCTCACAACTTTGTACGTTGGTGTGCCTGGTCACATTCGATCCTACCAGCTTCTGTCAACTTGATATGTTAACGTGGACCTTTCTGGTATCCGGAGATACCTTCCATTCAGAGAAAAACCATGTTATGTACTTTTTTCTTTCTTTCTTTCTTTTTTTTTGGGGGGGAGGTTTGCTATAGGGCATGTGCGCTCGCCAGGCATAGAGAAAGAGAGAGACAGAAAGCGAGAAATCACCTCCTAGAGGGGATGGCCACACCACAATCCCTTCTCCTACATTCTCCTCTCAGGATCTGGGGCACGCATGCACATGCGCCCGGCATGAGTTTTAAGCCACCGGGTCTGGGAGGCGAACCATGGTCGACTACATGGGAGTCCAGCAACATAGCCATTACTCTAACTGCTGGTCCCCCATGTTATGTACTTGATTTTCCTCCCCAGCTGAAACTCTCTAGGAAAGCTCATGCAGAAATGTCCTTCAGGTATGTGTCTAGCCTCCACCAGGCCTCATCTGCCACCCTACCTGCCCACTGTGAATGAACCCAGTCCTCTCTGTTTTTTCATACTCTTCACACCTTATCCCATGCTCGGGCACAGTTCTTTGCCTCACAGGGGGAGCCCAAAGGAGCACATGCATCAGAGGGCTCCCCCATCCTCTCTGGTTTCCAGGTAGGGACTGGAGGCAAACTTTTAGACAGGAGGTCTCAGATATTGATATTGGAAGGGGCCCACTGTCCTTTGGCTTCTTCTTCTGCAGGGTTTCTACCAAAGCAGGGGGACATGACCCGAACACACATGAGCAACCCTTCTGAGGTGACTCTGCAGGGCAGCACCTGCAGACACCAGGCCTGGGTCCTTTGCATGCGGCTCTTGGAAAGCACCGTGGAAATCCACAGGACTCTCCGGTGTTGCAGACTAAGTGGATGAGTCAGGTCTGACATCAATGGGGGTGAGATATGAGTCTATTCAGTTCACCAGGAGCATCCTTCACCTCTTTTGTCTTCTCCAGCTCATCTTCAGGTTAGAACATACCATGTACACTCTAGGATGGGTGAATAGAGTGTTGTTGATTCACCAAACAGTCAAGATGTTTCCTGATAGGTGAATTGTGGGCAGGCATTTTTCTCTGCTGTCCTGAAAGTCCTTGATCAAAAAAATATAGGAGGCGGCCTTCAAACACGACATACTACAAATGGAAGGAGCGCAGCTCTATCCGCCCTGTCTCTCTGAACTCAGCCGGCTGTGTTACTCATAATGGGACAGCAGGAGTCTTTTTCTAGATTTGCAGGTTACTATGTAGGTAAGAAGGAGTGAACTTGCTGAAATTTTGATTGTGTAAGACACATTTATGTACACAGGCAGAGGAGAGTATTATCAAGATGAATTTAAGGGTCCTTCCATTGCTAAGACAACACAGTCTGCCTCCCTCGACTTGAACTGGGCTACAGAAAGGGCAGAGCAGGCATCTTGGAGCTGAGCTCAAGCCCTGTTCTGCCACTTACCTCCTCTGGGATTTCAGTTAAGGCACTTCATCTCCAGGAAGAACTAAGGTTCTTCACCTCTAACACAGAAACAGTGACTAGCACCGTGGGTTCATTGTGGTTAAGATTTATAGTTTAGTACAGGACATAAATGTGACAGGGAAATAAAACTGAGTAAACATTTTTTAAGCATCTATTTTCATTCATTAAAGCTGGCTTATTTATTTATTCGGGGGCGGGGGGGACTCCAAAAGGGTTTTTATGATCCACCTCCAGGTCTAGCAGGCTCAGATCATGTGCTCAGTGTACACAGGGAGGTCTTGGGACACGAACTTAAGACCTTTCCACTGTGGGTATCGTCAAGCCACCCTGTGCTACTGTTTGGGCTCTATTCCTTTAAGACAGAGCCTTACTCTTGTAACGCTTCTGCCTTGGCCTCCCAGCTGGGGCTACAGGCATGTGTCATCATGACTGGGTCCTGTACAGACAGGGTCTCGCTGGGTTGCCCAGGCCACCTTTGAGCTCATGGGCCTCCTGGCTCGGCTTTTCCTGAGTTGTCATGATTATGAGCACAGGCGACTATGTCTGGCCTTCAGATTAGACGAGGACTTCACTTGGGCCTCCCATGTGGTCTCTGCAGAGCACAGCATGTTAGCAGCAGGTGCCACCACGCTGGGCCCATAGCATCTATGATTAACTCTGGATGCTGTGTTACATGCTGCCCAATCCTGGGGCCATGGTTCACATCACAGTTATCAGAGCTCTGTGTTATTAGGACAAGGTTTTCTTTTTTGGTTGTTTTTGTTTTCTGATAGGGAATAAAGAA